TTCCCATTCAGAAACAAAATGACATGAGGGAACATCAAAAACTCATGGAAAATGGAATTAAAAGATAATCTCATTGTGGTGTAAACTTTTAAATCGATGCATAGTTTTTATATACTATGCATTTTCCCCAAGCTTTCTGAAGATCCCTCTTATGCATGAATTACAAAAATTTTGTGCCAAAATAATCTTTTAATTCCATTGTTCCACAAACTTTCTTTTTTAATTTTACTTGAAAGACTGAGAGACAGAGATTTCTCATCTGCCAGGATGGGACAGGACAAAGCCAGGAACTGGGAACTCATCTGGGTCTCCCAATGGATGGCAGGGATCCCAATACTTGAGCCATCACCTGCTGCCCCCAAGGTGTGCACTAATAGGAAGCTGGAATCAAAAGCAGAGCTGGTATTCCAATCCAGGTACTTCAATAAGACATGCAGGCATCCTATGCCAAGCACCCAACCTCCCATCAGCTTCTTAAAGTAACTATACGAATAACTCCTTGAGCAAGGCAATAGTCTTGTTTAAAGAGAAACGGAACTTGGGCAACAGAGGAGATGTTTGCAGAAAGGATGAGCTGTTCATTAGCTGTCATGCTATAACTGTCCTACAAGAGGTAACAGCTCTGAGAGCAGAGTTAAAAATAAGGTTCCAAAGATTTCAAAATATAAATGGCACAGAGATAATTAAGATAGCACAGGATGGCAGTCTCTGGAGTTAAGTTACAGCCATCTTGTGATTTAATTAGTTGCAGAGGCACTTACCCGCCCCCGCCTGGATGTCACAGAATTACTTCGTGTTTTCTTCACTGTGGGATGGAGAGAGACTGAGGTGTTCACAGGCATGACTTCCCTCAGCCCCAACGTAGATGGAGGGTTGTTGTCAGGCCCAGGGAGCTCAACCGATGAGAGCCCTGCCAGGGAGGGAGGAAGCAAACCAGGCAGGCAGCGATGCGCTTGGCTGCTGAAGGGCCCACAAGCTCCAGGTGTGGAGCTTCCGTTTGCTCTGAATTCCAGGGCTGGAAACTGATCTTCTCACCTCATCTCGGGGTTGATCTAGATTCCAAATGGTGGCTGCTCAAGTGTGGCCCTATCCAGTAGAAATGCAAAGTACTGCAGTTTTCCCTTTCACATCATGAATATTTAGAACACAAAGGGAACTAGGAGGGGGGAGGGTTATATTGTACAGATGGAAAACTTAGTGTCTACATGTAAACATCTATATGAGAGTTACATGATAGGTTTTTCTTGTACTTTATCAGCTATCTTATTTTCACAAATAACTTTGAAGTAGGAAAAACAGAAGTGAATAAAACTACTGTGTGTGTTCCTCTGTCAGCCTTCTTCCAATTTGTACCAAAAACCTGTGTATCACTATAACCAGTATATACAGGTCATTTTATCCAGATATTTCTCAGACAATATTACCAGAGCTTTTCCAGGAATCTGAGTAATTAATGTATTTTCTGATAAAAAAAATTTAAGTTTTTTGTATGCATTCATAGCATTTTATGGTTTGCAATAGGTGTTTCAATTATTAACTTCTGAAGTTAATCAGAACAGTAGTCATTAGTCTTTTTATTCTGATCATAATGGTAAAAAAACAGGAGATCTACCCTCAACAAATCCTTAAGTACACAATATTGTTAATTATGTGCATATTACTTCTCTTGCTGATTCTGAAGTTTTGAACAAATTCATATCCGCTTTTGCATCTTCAAAGGAGGACCAAATTTAGTAAGGTGTTTTTATTTAAATTATAAATTTTGCTAATACTAGCCTAAATGAAATAATAAACAGATTAAAGTAGTATATTCTGACCAGTGGTATAAATTAAAAGAAAAATAGATATGTAGTTACATCAAAGATTTATCACCTTGAGTTAGTTTGTGTAGTAAAGATAATGAACTGATATAAATAATGGCAATGTAGGGTCAAGTAGATTGAATAGGTGTGGACATGTGGTTCCATGTTTAACAGTGCAGGCCATTCAATGGGATCACATTTTTGCAAAGCCACGGAGGCAACTGCTTGGGACAAGGTCACCTTGAGAATACGGTTATGGTTAGGACAATCAGTTTGCAGGCCCAGGAATCTACAAACATAGTGCTATGGTTGAAGAGGAGCATGGAATAGAAAGAAAGAAATTGCCAAAGAGAAATTTTCCAAGTTTATGATGAAAAATCCAATAGCTTCTTGCCTTACCTATATAAAGGAAGTTCTGTTAGAGAAAAGGGTATCTTAATTCAAATAAGAAGTGAGAGAACCTTCTCAGACATGATTTAGACCCCTGTAATTTCAATCTGTGATTCTACGTTAGGTCCTTATGTCCAATCCAAAAATTGTCCTTTTTTGCACAGGCCACAGCAGGAATCCACATTATTATTGTATCAACTCCATCTACTCATGCTGGATACATGAATTGGGACAGACCAGTATCACACAATGATTCATGCATTTATCTGTATAGGACACATAAATAAATATCCCATAGTTATCAGGTTTTTTTTTTTTTCATTGTATTTGCTGGATAATTTTATGGTGGCAACTCTTTTCCCTACACAGGGATTTCGTGATGCTTTTAGCAGGATACATTTGTCTAGAGAAACTTATTTATCCTAATTAACCTTCATCCTTAAGCGAACTGGAAAATCTTATGATAAAGGTTATTTTTTATTATTTATTTAATTGAAAGGCAGAGTTAAAGAGAGACAGGGAGAGAGAGAGAGAAAAAGAATATCATCCACCCACTGGTTCACTCCACAAATGGCTGCAACACCTACGGTTGGGCCAGGCTGAAGTCAAGAGCCAGGAGCTTCATCTGGGTCTCCCACATAGGGGCAGGGGCCCAAGCAATTGGGCCATCTTCTACTTCTTTTCCAGGCACATTTGCAGGGAGCTGGATGGGAAGTGGAACAGCTAGACTCAAACCAGCACCCATATGGGATCCTGCCATCTCAGATCGTGGCTTAACCCATTAGACCACAATGCTGGCCCCAATAAAGATTGTTTTTTTTTATACACACACAAAATATATGTAATGAAAAAAGGAAACATGTCAGCTCTTAGGAAATATTTAGCCCCTCTCAAAAACCTTAAAGGAGAAGTTGTCCTTACTATTGAAAAGACAGTAACCAGTGTGCATGCACTCTTCACACTGCCAGATATTTAGGCCATTAAGGTCCCCTGAAATGGCTACTTTCACTAGAAGATCCTGCCACTACATACACAGATACCTTGCATTATCTAAGGGAAAAATCAGAAATTTTGTTGTTAGGGCATCTTTGTGAGCCCTTGTTCATACGTACACTTTACACAGCACTTGGACCATGAGAATAAAATGGGACACTGAAGCAGGGATGGAGTGGACAGACAGGCTTCCCCGGTGCTCCTAGTTACCCGCCCTGGAAGCACTGGTTGACCCAGAGTCATTCCGCAGGAAATCAGCAAGGTCCTAGTTATGGCATTGGGCTGAAAAAGTTGACAGTTGTAAAAGCTGATGCTGTTTTTGAAACCTGGTGCTCTTTAAGCACATGAGTCCTTGCCTCCTAGATAACTCTGTATTTTTCATATAAAAAATCATCTATCTTAAAAAGCTCCTCACCAGTGAGAAGTTATAGTGCCCTATAACCCTGAAATTTTTTTGATGTAAGGCTTTGGTTGAACATGGTTGGTTATATAATAAAAATAAAATTCGGTTTCCTCACACTAATACTGTAAAAGAGCTAACTATAAACAGCATCTTACATTAATAATATATTGCATTTACAAAGTAAATTATGTGATATATGTCCAGTATATTTCCACTGCATGCTTAAAATATTCATGCACAGAGAAAAGGGCATATACCAAACAGTTTATAATGTTATCATGGCAGGCGGGATTATGGGTACATTTTTCTTTCTTGTATTTTTGTAAGCATTTGATAATCAGCATGTGTTCCTTTTTTTTAAAAAAAGGAGATGTTTTAAGGTTGCCTACCAAGGGCTTTAGTAACTGAAAAGTTTAAGAGCTCTTAAGTCTGCAAATTAAAAGTCCAGATGATGCTGTCTACAATGACAGCTTCTGGCTTCAAGTGGCTATTTAATTATTTAATTAAAAACAAGTAAATTGATTCAGATCTTCAATCATGCTAGATATATTTCAGGTTTCAACTACCACATTTTCATCATCACATAAAGTGCAGAATGGGTTATCAAATTCCTGGCCATTAGTCCCTCTGAGATGCCCCACTAACCTTCAGCCTAACGAGTTCAGAGTGAGTGACAGGTCAAAGCCTACCTCCCAATTCGTAGCTCTTACCTCCACACCACCATTATTATCTTCTCCAGAAGACGACAACTTCCCAAACAAGACTCAATTCAGTTCACCTCAACGTGCTACCAGAGACATTTCTTGAGAGCTTACAGTGTGATGAGTGTGGTAATAGGCTATGAATACAGAAAACCAAGTAAGAGAAGTATCCCTGGCCATGGGGGATGTCCAAGTACAAACCCAGAAGGTCATGCCAGGTGCAGCGACAGCACAAAGTAGAGACAGCTCTCTCTTATTGGGAAATCCAGAATCACTTCTGATAGGTACATATGCTTGAATTGATATTTATACATCCAAATTCACAAATCAGCCCTTCTCCTTTAATAGTTTGTTTTCTCCAGACCCCAGAAGAAGAGAGGTCTGACCCCATTTTTCAAACACGATTGATTCTTGACTGAATGTTGTTTTGACTTCACGTGGACTGGTTAGACGTGTTCAACTCAGCACTGCGATTAATTTTCTTGTTTTTCAGGCCTGGTTATACACATGCAAAATAATTTTAAATCTTCAAATGAAATAAAATACAATTTTAAGATTTCATCATTCAGTTCATTTTGGACTATATAAAAGCAAATACGATTTTTGAAGGAACAGTTTTTTTCTACCCAGATGTTTCGAAAATGTATAAACACAGCTTCAAACCCTGGAGGGCCCCCTTTTCAAATAAATTATGTTCCTGCATGTTCACAGATGCAATGCTTTTGGTGGCAGAGCGACTGGAAGGGCCATTCAACATCGAGTCGGTCATGGACCCCATAGATGTCAAGATTTCTGAAGCTATTATGAACATGCAAGAAAACAGCATTCAGGTGTCTGCAAAGGTATTTGCATTAATCATGTATTTACTCTTACATAATACAGGCACAGTAACCTAAAATGATGTAGGTAGATATGCTGGCTGAGATTATAAATTCTAACAGGCTACCAGTGAGCTTTTCCTGTGAGCCACAAATTTGCTACTTCATTAAAAAGGTCGAACAAAATGGCATTGAGAAGGGAAACAACTTTTTAGTTCACAACTACTCAATCATGAAGAAATTATTGGCTGCCAAAAAGTTTCAGTGAGCTCAAGTATGTTGACTAATCCCTCACATTTGTGGGCAGTTGGGGGGGGGGTCTTTTTAAATGTTTGAAATTTTTGCACACCCTCACTCGGTTCTTTCTCTAGTAACTTCTAATTATATCTTCAGCTATGCAGTCCAGGCACGTGTTCTGTGGGTTCAATGGTAAATAATTAAACATCCCATCTGACTCCCTTTTAAGACTATGGTGTAACCTTCATTAATGAATCTTCAGGGGAAAATGTTCCTTTGTATGAGGTCAAGCACACCTTACAAGGAAAAAAGTAGCACATTTTCATAAATCATTGGAGACAGAGCTCTTGGGTTTGCAGCTGCAGAACACAAATACCAGGTGCACAGTTTTTATTTGTTCCTGCCCACGTGAAGATAAACAGGACCCACTTTAAGCAAAACTGAGAAGTTTTCAGTGGGTCTCCAGCTTGTCTTGCATCACACACATTTTCTCCATGTTGCTGACTGTACAATGTCTCTCTGTTCTTCCTGCCATGGACCACAAACCAAATCTATGTCAGTTCTTTAAAGCTAGTGACTGAGTGATTGCATTTTAATTGAAAGTCATCGTCACTAAAATATATCAGGCAAAGAGTTGCATGATTAGCTTTGTTCAATGTTTTAAATCCTTTGTGAAATTTCAAATAAAATCAAGAAGGAGGAGAAGAAATTGCAGAGCAGAAAGAGAGCCATGGAATCCCCCTAGATCTCTTTGGCTGAGCATGAATCAAACTAGACTTTGGCTTTTCAGGGTAAACTGGCAGGAAGTGGGGTAAGAAAAATCTGCACTGTGTTTCATTCTCTCTGGGAGATGGATGAGCTGCGAGTTTCCTAGGTCTACTTCTGGGTTTTAATGAGCTCGGGGTAGCCTCTGTAAAGGAAGATGCTCCCAATTACCATCACCTGTTGGGGAAATAGCCCATTTGGGGTTTGCATGAAAGGCCATTTTCTTTCTTTCCTGTGAAATATAGCAATCATCTCTTCCTCTCAAGTCTACTGCCTAGAAACCAGTCCATGTTGTTTTGAGAGTCCAAATATCCCAGCAGTGCTTGAGTAACTAGGCACTGAGGTTGCTGAAGTTCAAAAGCGCCCAGGAGAATAAGACATGAAAAACATGTGGACCACAGTATTAGTGGTTGGAGCACATCACACTTCCCAGGAGGCGGCATCTGCTTCCGTTGCTGTGCGCTCATGCACACTCTCCTCTACCTTTTTCCATCCATTCTTTCAGCAGTAAGTATGGAGAATCCACGTGGCAGACACGGTTCTAGATATGGGCAATGGAGGAGTGAACACCATGTTCCACCCTCATCAAATGCACTTTCTAATAGCAGAGTCAGATATTAAACAGCTAAACAGTTACGTAAATTAACGGACTGAATGCCATGTCAGACAATACTTGGTACAAAGGAAAAAGCTCCTTTTGACAGGAAACTTCTTTTATGATGTGAATTTAAGAAAATTTAATTCTTACAAATTTAACAGGTTCCTAATTGTTTTCCTGGCATCCACTTTTGAAACCCCTTCTCTTTCCTTCACCCAACAACCAAAGTTTTCCAAAACATAAACAAGAGGATATTCCCCTGCTTCTCCTTTCCATGACTCTTTTTGCACTTACAATGGAATTCAAACTTTGGCAAGGTCTTGCATTAACTGACCTCTGCCTACCTGTACCTTCCTTCTTGCCCTCTGTCCTTTCGCTCACTGTGTAGCTATGTGAGTTATCTCCATTCCTTGCGTATACATGTCGCTTCTTTTGCTTGTAATGCCTCTCACTCCTCTCCCTTTGAGTGGGTCTCTCTTGTGATTCACTATCTCAAAGGTCTACCATAGTATCTATTACAGATTGGAGATACAGTTTGTTTGGTTCTTGCTCTCTAACAGTCTTCTCCTGCCTTCACTGATGTAAAACCCCATGTGGGACCAGGATCACTGCTGTATATTTAAAACCTAGTGCATCACATGTCACACAGAAAGTATAGGCAAATAATTTGCTGAATTACTGAAAGTACTAGTGAGTGAGCTCCAAACAACTTTTAAGAAATCAATTTTATTTCAAAAAAGTAGGTTACCTACTAGAAAAAAAAAATACTTATTGTGAGTTGAGTATTCAGTGTAGCAGCTAAAGCACCACTTGGGAAACCCACATCCTGTACTGGCACGCCTTAATGTGAATCTTTGTTCTGCCCTTGATTCCAACTTCTTGTTAATGCACACGCTGGGAGGCAGCAGATGATGCTCAAGTGGCTGAGTCACTACCACTCACATGGGAGACACACAATGAATCCTTGGCTCTTGTCTTTGGCCTGGGCCAGCCCCAGATAGTGTAGGTTTTTAAAGTAAACTAGTAGATGAGATTCTCTCTCTCTCTCTATGCATTTATATAATAAAAATTTAAAATTTATTTTTAAATTGAAAAATATATATATAAATATGGCATTCAACATGTTTTGAAATATGTTTACATTATAGAATGACTAAATCAAGCTAACAAACGTGTTTATATCTGACATCCTTAGCATTTTTCTGTAGTGAGAACACTTAAATCTCAGCAATTTTCAAACATAGGAAACGTTGTTATAAACTATAGTTCAAATCAAGTATTTTCCTAACAATTGTCCAAGAGGTCAGATGAATCCATTTTATTACCAAGATTTGGATAAGACATTTTTATGAAATTTGTCCAACTATATTATAATAGTATTGCTATTAATAAAGATTGTGCTTTAAAATGACACACTGATTTGCAAGAAATGTCAAACCAAGAGCAGAGATAGTACAAATAATAGAGATAGCAGTAGGTAGTAAAGATAACCTATAACACACTCATATGAGGGAATTCGGTAGGTAGGCCAGAAAATAATCTTAAATATCCAGTGAGCTAGAAACAAACAAAAATCTTGTCGACTTGACAAACAGAAGAGGTGTAGAGGAGTCGAGGAGGAGGAGGGCAGCCAGGTTCTTCTGGAGAGAAAGATGGGGGGCAGGATCTGGAAGAACCACAGTCAGCTTTCAATGCTGTGGAAAGGCAGGGGTGGTTGGAATTTGGATAAATTGAATAGGAAACATCAACAGAATTTTCTGGTGCTGTAGATATGTCCTGAAAACAAGCTTTAATTCATGAAAGTAATGGAAGTTAATTTTAAATTTAGAAATACATGGTTTCGCTTTCCCTGTAGGCCACATCCATGAAATCACGCATGAACTAGAGTCTAAAATCAACATTTTAGCTAACAACTGGGTGGCTGGATACACCCTTTTCCAAAGGAGCCCTCAGTCACTGTTGATGAACAGTCTCAGTTAAAGATGTAGGCTGGGGGATTTATAGAACCAGAAATGGTGCTGGCTTCTAATAGGAGAGCTTCTGTGGCCAGAAGCTAGTTCATAACGTGCAGGGAAATGGGGGTAGGGTGGGGAGAGACATCCTGAGAGTTGTAAAGCTCACAAATTAAAGTGACTTTTTACTCTAGGATGTGATTGACAAATTTTTTATTTTACTAAGCCAGTTAGAAGACAGCAGTTAAAGTTAAAACACTTTTATTAAAGTAGATAGAATTTATTTTTGGAGGAAAAAGGAAGACCTTTCTCTCTGTCTCTCTCTCTCTCACTGTCCAACTCTGCCTGTCAAAAAAAAAATTATTTTCAGAGTCTCTTTCTTGAAAGCAACAATATTTATAACTGCCAACTCATATATATTTAATGCTTACTGCAAGGGACTGAACTAAGTGCTTTCCATGGTTTATATTATGTGATATTTATAACAGGGTTCATGATGAGGTAAGACTTGCCTCTTATTATGCAGGTGAGAAAAACAAGACTTAGGAAGGTCTCATGGTGTAAAGGTTAGAAGAGTGTCTGAATCCCAAACCCATCCTAACTGCTAAACCCACTGTGATCTTAGTGCCTGCAGACATTATGGGCAGAGTCCAGTGAACGTTTGCTACATCCATGAAGCATTAAGACAAAGTTCAGTAGCCTTCGGTGGAACCTGCCGGAGAAGACACAAGGATAGAGCCAGGAAGACTCAGGCCATTTCTTTCTTCCCGATTCCCTTTACGGCTGAGCCTACTACTACTTCCTACCATGAAAAATTCTAATTAAATATTTCTCTAATCCAGCCCAATCGTCCATTTCTCCCAATCTTCCTAAACTTTTAATAGTAAAGATGATAAAATTCTTTCTCCTCTCTTCTGTATCTAAAAGCAGAAGATGAACATACCATAGTTTCAGATATGAAATCCCTTTCCCCAAACGCTGTCATCCTATCTAGGGACAGAACAGCTAATCTTTTTGTACCTAATAATAGAGATCAGGAATTAGTAGGATTTACAGACTAATGAAAAGATCTCTCACCCTGTATCTTCACACTCGTCTCAGATCTGTTTTTACAAGTATTGTCACATCCTTTTTCTTCCTCTATTCAGCCAACAGGGAAGCAGTTAGGGGTTAGATATACCGAAATTCCTTCCAAAAAATACATTGGCTATATCAAGTTGCATAGGAAGTTATAATATTCTGGTAACACTGTAACACACATTTCAACCTCTAGATTTTATATACTGTACAATACTAGATACATATATACTTTGCCAAAGACTGGGGCTACAGCATATTAAAATTTTTTTGGTTCCCTTTCAAGCAAGGAATCATTGGGTAATAATGACAACCATCATGGTTCCCACTGGCCCAACACCTACTGTGTTCCTGTGTTCATGCAACAAACACTCTACCAGGAATCCGGCATGAGG